AGGGGAGGAGGGCTTGGCCTTCTCCTACCTGCCCCAACCCCTCTTAAATACCCACTGAAAATATGGAGGGAGAGCCCAAGGGAGTGAAAATAAGTGAACAGTCAGATGTGTCCTTCAAATGAAAACAGACTCCCTTGAGCAACCTCGAAGTTCAGGCCCAGTAATCTCTGAACCAGTGTGGTCACTTGGCCAGGGGCTGTTTTGTGCTGGTTCAACTCCCCCTGCTCTGCTGTCCTTGAGTGCCAAACCCTTTGGCATGCAAGATGTAAATTCTTTGGGGTTGAACTTGAAGGCTTCATGAGAGGACAGCTTGACCAGCTTCATTATTATCAAAATTCATTTCCTTTCCTTCAGCTGACATGACTTCTCACTGCAGCACTGACAGCAGTGTCCTGGCTAGGAGGGTGCCCCAGCTAATATGTATTTACTGTGCTGAATTTCCTATCACTGAGGCTTTCTCTAATATTACACAAAGGCTAATTACAGCAAAGTTGTCTGAAGTTGCTTTTAAGCTTATTCTTTTTATCTTTTGAAGTGATGTTCAGGCTTTCCCTGCGTTCGTTGGTATATTCAATACTCCAGTCAAATCACATTTGTAGCTCAGCCTATTTCTAATATCCACAGATAGGAAAAATTCAAATTGCAGTATTTAAGAGCCACCCTCACTGAAAAACCAGTTGTTGGTTTATTTCAAAAGGTAGGGACAAAACCATTTCTTTTCATGAGGATAGATTTCAGGTACATAAAGCAAGTCTTGTTCTACAGCAGGCCCTGATGAAACTAAGAAATAAAGAGCACCAGGTAGATAGGGAAGGTGTATGGGCAAACCTATTTCACCTTCTGGCTGGGGATGATATGAGCATGGAGTTCCATAGCTCTTCTAAAACTTGTGGATCCAGATAATCTGGATATATAAATATGTAGAAAAATATGCAGTTGTACATAATACCTACAAATAGATACAAATGTAGATATTTATCTGTAGATTAGTGTTTTGTCCTCCTTCAGTTCATAATTCTTATCTTTCAGTGTTGACAGAACCTTTTTTGGGGGGGAATTATCAGTCTTCACTCAGCTGTTTGAGTTTTGAACTTGTTTTGTTCTTGTGTTTAAAAAAATCCAATTGACACTGCCAACCTTTCCTTTTTGTACCATTCATTATTTTTATGTGCCTGTCCTGCTTCCTCTTTTTTTGTTACCTATGAAGTCAACAGCTCCAAAATTTTTGCACTTTCTATAGAGGGAAAACTTTTCTCCTTTTTTGATTGCTGCTGTCTAGTCAGACACCAGGCTGGAGGGGGTGAGAAGGAATGGGGACTCTCTCCTCGTAGGCAATGACTGAACCAGATTGTTGCTCCTCGTGGAGACAGAAATAGGCAAACAGGTTCCCAGTTCAGCCCCCCCTGAACATCTTGGTTGAACAAAAAAAATCTGTTAAAAGGTGCTAAACTTAACCTTTTCATATGAAAAGTTTCTTACAGTTTTCCCTACAGTAAGAACCCTTTACCATTCTTCCCCCTGCCTCCCAAAAATAAAACCTGCAGGGTGCTGTGGCATTGCTATGGTTTGAATTAATCTGAGGTGCACTCAGAGTTGTTGAGGTGTGGATCACCAGCACAAGGCTGCTCTTTAGCCCAGACAAGACCACATAAACCCCATCCTTTGACAGTTGCCTCCTGCTTCCAGGAGCACTCCCTTCTTTTCCCATTAATCCATTTGCATTCAGGGCTGCTCCTGTATGCCAATTAGCTTTAATTTTTACTATACACACTGACATCAATGGCCAATGAGAACAGGGCATAGCAGGGTTTTTAGTGTGCCCATAAACTACAGAAAATTGTCCTTGGACAAACTCCTGCTTTTAGACTGGCTGACAACAATAGACATGGTTAAGTTCAGGCTAAGAGCCTTTAAACATAATTACTACCACAGGGTAAAAGTTTAATTATGCTAAATTTTAAATCTGCATAGTCTATGCTTATTTACAAGCTGGCTGGGTCTTCCTGTTACGTAAGAGGGAATAAATCTGTACTTTAAAATTGTTGCCTTTTAACTTCAAAGGGAAGTGAATAAATAGGGTTTTTTAGAAGAAGCAAAACAACCCCAAACTGAAAACTTTCTGTATTTCCAGCTTCTTTTATGCCACTGGCCCTGAGCTGGTAAGTAGAGGCTAAACATTTTCTGATAGATTTTTCTAGTGCTCTTCAACTTTGTGTGTGTGAATGTGTGAGAGAGTGTTGCATCTGTTAGGAAGGTGTCTGGGGGACAGAATGCAGATCAGTTTGTTCATGTGGGGTTATTTTAAATTTCACCACAGATGGGGCTTGGGGCAGAAGATTTTTCCTCCTGCTCCTTATCTTCTCTCCCTCCTTCCAATAACGCTGAGCTCCCCACTTCAGGAAAGTTTCAGCTCAAGTAGCTTCTGGATCAGGAGCTATCAGAGGTGGCAGGTTTTCTACAAGCAAACGAAAAAACAGGCAAAAGACTCTGTTCATTTTGTGTTTTCTTCCAACAGATTACAAAAAAGTCACATTCACTGAGCTACAAGTTACGGTGTATTTTTAGAAGGGTGGTGAATATATGGGGCTCTAAATCACTCCCCAAAAAGCAGATTAAAATCAGGAGGTGCTAGAATAAGTGTGAAATGTTCATCTGTTGGGAAAGGGAGGGTATGGAGGACTGTGAAACTTGATAGAAGAGACAAAGATTAGCACGTTGACTCGCTGGAAGCCACATTATGTAGACATTAGAAGGCAACATGATTTCAGCTGGACAGAACATAAGCTTCAGATCTTATGCAAACAGTCAAAGCCGTTTAACAATTGGTTTACCCCCAAAACCCCTGAAAGGAGACAGGTGAATACGATGCCAAATACATTTTTCATGTTTCTTAAGCTAACTGTTTAAATAGTTAAGTGAACATCTGTCCAAATTTCCCCATCATTTCCATTTAGAAAAGTCTCCTATTTGAAGGCTGAAGAAAAGCACCTGCTTAACAATGCAAATGGTGCTGTCTGGGGCCCCTTTATTTTGTTTAATCTAGATTGAGCTCCACACAACTGTGATGCTAATGAATAATGGATATTTTATACTTGTGCATGTAGCAGTGCTGGGCACAGAGCAAATCTAGGATTAACCTCCCAGTTTCCCTGCCTAATGCATTTGACTCATTTTTTTGAGTTGGCTGTGACTTGGGTACTCTAAAAACGGATGCTTGGTTTTATGGGAAATGGGAAAATCCTGGCAAAAGCTGTCAGGCTTCGCTGTGCCCAAGTGGAAAGGGGCAGCTAGGCTGAGGAAGGGAGGGATGTCTGGAGCAATGGCTTGATTTGTGAGTGGGTGCTGAATGAGAGCCAGGGCGTTCCAGGGTGGAGACCTGGACGCTTTTCAGTGCTGCATTTTTCCAGTCCCGTCTGCTGGCGTTAGGCAGCCGAGCCCCGTGCCCAGCTGCCTCCCCTGCCTGTGGGGGCAGGAGCAAGAGGGGTCAGCTTGCAGGGAGAAAGGGACTGCCTTTTGCTGGTGCAAATTGTATAGCTAGGATTTCACTCTGCCTTTCAGCCTTCAGATGGTGGAATCACGAGGGAAGAAATTTTGGTACTCTCTCTGCGGATTTTCTGTCCTGCATGAGTGTTTCTGTTCTGGTTTGTGCGGTTTAGCTCTCAGGGAAAACATAGTGCTGTTTCTTCATAGGAAGGCCTGGGATTTTGCAGCCAGGCCTAATGAAAGACCACTGATACCACTTATAAAGAAAAATAAAGGTGGGCTTTCTTACTGCTGGAGAGCGAGCTGACTTCAGGAACAATCTCTGTAGGAGGGTGGGAGAGTTGTGTGGAGGTTTCTATAACACCGCTGGGTGTTTTAATTCACAATTACTGGCCAGTAATAATTAGTATTGATTAGCCTGGCAAATTGCAGGTTTAGAAATTGGTTATGGATTTTCCTGATGCTTCTCATCTGCGTGTTGTGGAATCAGCCAGAACCGATGGCTCAAAACAAACCCTGAGCCCAGATCCGTCGGCGGGCAGCGGCGCGTTGCGTGCGCGCAGCTAATGGCCAGCAGGGATCGTGTGTCTTGAGGTTCATCACCCCCAAAATGCCATTTCTATCATCTCCCAGGCTAAGTGACTAACCACGTGTGACCAGGGGCTGGGGTGAACCTTGGTTCTGTCAGCCCGTGGCTCAGCGTGGCCGCGGTGGGGTCTGCAGGGACACCGCGGGCAAGGCGAGCAGGGGAAGGATGCCACAACCTTGCTGGAGTCCCCCGGCAGACATCTGGGGAGACAGATAGTGAAAGCCAAGATGAAAATGGCAAAGCTTGCAGCGCTGAAGGGCTGTCCTGGAGGGGCAGGGAGCTGAAGTGGAACGGCTGAGCATGCTGTTCAGGCCGCCGTGCAAGGGCTTAGCTGGCTCCCGGGAGGGCTGGGGAGGCACGGGGAGGGGGGCACAGCCAGGGAGCAGGGCTTGCTCTCTGAGATGCCTGGAGAAACGCTGTGCACTCACTGCAAGAGAAGTCGTGCTTTTTCTTTCTAAGCACCAGGTGAGTGAGGCTCTTGCCGAGCTCTGTCACAGAGCTGCCTGCCAGGATTGGCAAAGTTTGCAGGATTCTGTGTCCTGCTGCCAGCCTGTCCCTCCGCCAGGCCAAGCCCATGTGGAGCAGGACGAGCAGCTCCCAGCACCTACCCCACTGCTGCAGAGAGGCAGATAGTTTTTGACTGAAATTTTGTGAGCCCCAAAATAGTGCTCTAAGTGTTTAATGCTTTTCTCCATTAGACAGCAAATTAGCCCTAGGCTGACAAACCAAATGAAGTTTCATCTCGACGATCGGAGCCTGCTCACCAGGCAGTTTTATCCCAAGTTCCTGCACGCTGGTTGGTCAGTGAAATGGAGACTGCAACTTCTATTTATTGGTGCAATACAGTATTTGATACTGCTAATTACACTTAATTAGTCCTTCCACCATTTAATTAAAATGGCTTCTAATGATTGTGCTTCTTTGGCAGGCTCTTTGGTACCACCGGGAATTGTGCTGCCTGCAGTAAACTGATCCCTGCCTTTGAGATGGTGATGAGGGCCAGAGATAATGTTTACCATTTGGACTGCTTTGCCTGTCAGCTCTGCAACCAGCGGTGAGGACACAGTTTTTGTACACACAAACTAATTTATACCTTTGCCCACGAAGCAGGGGAAATGTTGGATGTGCCCTGCCCGTCTGGGGCTCACAGCCTGCGGGCAGGGCTGGGGCTGGGCTGCCAGGCTGACCTGGGGATGCATGTAAGTACCTGTAGCCCTTTCAGTGCAAATCCCCTTGGAGCTGGTGGGAGTTGGAGGGGCAAGGGGGAGGACACAGACACAGCCTGTACAGCTGCTGCTGAATAAAACAAACTGCTCCAGCGTCCTTTCAGGAGCTACCCTCTTTGCAGAAGGCAGATGATGGAGAATGGAGCTCCTCTGGCAAACTGACATTATCTCACTTAAATCACATTTCTGACACACTCAAAACTGGGGATGGAAAAGAAGAACGATAACGAGAAAGGACAGGAAGGAGAAAAATACTCTGGCTAAGCCCTTTCCAACACGAGGGACAAACCCCTTTAGTTGTTGTGTAGTTAATAGGGGATCTTGGTGGTATAACTTTGAGTGGGGATTATGTATTTCTGCTGGGTGGAAAATGGAGTATAATAAAGGGCATATATATCAGGGAGTATGATAAAGGGCCATGCACAGTATTTTCACCTGAACTACCTGTATCCAGTTGAGTTTGGGAGGGCTGTGAAAAATCTTCCCAGCACCATGTTTGTTGATCATTGTAGGCAGAATGGAGGCCCACAAAACCAGATGTGACACCGTGTCACCTTTTGATGCAATTCATCTGTCCATTCTTGTCTAAGATAAGTTTGGAACTGCTTGCAGTTCTTACTGCTTGCTTAGACTGTAGTGACTGCCCAGGGGCCAAGGGCTGTGCAGGTGTTCCTGTTCTGGATCTGTGGTTGTGTTTCCCAAAGATGAAACTAGGATGCAGTGCCTCATCCCATGGGAAAGTGTGAGAGAGATGACAAAACTTGTGGGAAGATGGAGAGCCCAATTCTCTAAAAGTCAAGCTAAAACCCCGGCTTAAACATTCCTTGCTCAGTGCAGAAAAGATCCACAGTGGGATCTCTCATGAATCAGCCATGCACGTGTGTGAATCCCAGCTTCCCCCTGCACTTGAGAGATGCTGTCCGGCTGTGCTCCTGCACCGTCCGCCCGCGGCTCAGCCCCGGCATGGATTTGGTGCCGGAGGAGGCAGAGGAGGTGGCTTTGCTTTGCTCAGCGTGTCCGGAGGCAGGGGCGGTGTTTATTGGGGGTTCGATCGCCGTGGATGCTGTCGCCTGCCCGGGCGCGGTGGCAGTGCCGGGGCGGCAGTGACATCTAGTGGCACCTGGCCTCGGGCTGCTCTCCGCGGGACCTGCGGGCTGCCCAGCTGGGCTTTGTGACTCTGGAACACCGGGCTGACCCCACCTCATCCTCCGAGATGCTCCTTCCACGCTGCTGCAACCACCAGGCGTTTCTGGGGTTTGTCTCCCCAGCCCTCCGGATCGGCTCTTTTCAGCCTCCCGATGATTCCTGGGAGTTTGGGCTGCTCCCAAACTCCACACGGAACATGGGGCTGGGGCATTATAAATGTCCCTTCAGGCAGAGTCAGGAGTGCTGGTTGGCCTTAGAGTCTGCAGGCTGGGTATCTCTCACCAAACCCCTACTTCACCCCTCTTCTCCCAAAAAATCCTAGTGCTGCCTGGGTTTCATTCTCAGTAGTTCCTTTTAAATTTCACTCTTTATTTCAAAGGCTCCAAAGCACCTTTCTGCCTCCCTTCCCTCTTCAGTTGCCAGTGTGGTCTCACTCTGTCCTTCAGACAGCGTCCAGGGCTGTCAGTGCCTGGCAGGAGAGTGCAGGTCATCCCCCCATCCTGCCAGAGCTGTTCTGGATTTGCTCAGTTTGTTGAGGGGCTGAGTTGTTCTGAAAGATGGGCTACACGTAGATTCTTACTTTTGGCTGAGGTCAGGGGGCTGCCACTTTTTATGACTCATTCTGTAGAGATTTGGGCTTGAGAGGACAGAACAGAAGTGATCCTGGAACACACAGCACTGGATGCTGAACTGAGAACAGTGAGATTAAGTAACCCTAAAATCAGAATTGCAGACGTGGATGCCAGTTCTGGTTCTGAATTGGAAACCTCAGTTGAAACCCCATCTTGTTCTTCAGTTCTGAAAAGATTTGATGATGAAGGTCTTTTCTTAGTTCTCTTCCAGCTTGCTTGCCCTTCTATAGCTGGACTTTGTATTAAGTGCTGAATCTATCACAGCAAACCTCTAATATTTTTACCAAGTGTGCAATGTTTTCATTATTTTCATTCCCTAAAACATCACTTATGCATCACCACTGCATTATCACTCAGCCTACCATGTTTTAAAGTGGTCTGAAGTTATCAGGGTCATTGTAATGCTGAATAAAAGCTGGTCACTGGCTGATAGGTCAGTGTAACAAGGGTTGCAGAAAATCCAGCTGCTTCTCTTGCCATTATCTGAAGTGTGGCTTTGCTCAGAAGAAAATCACTCTTAAGAAATGGCAGAGTAGGTTCAGCACCTATTTCTGACTGCTGCTGCCTGGAACATCCCTGCTGTGAGCATAGGGGCTGGCAGTGTGAAACTGGGCCTGAGGTCACCCTGATAAATCCTCTCTCTCCAGTTGTTCAGCATCAGCTGAAGAGATCCCAGTTTACTGGCAGGTAGAAACAGTTGCCTTTCCAGTGAGTCAAAGCCTTCTCCCAAAACTTCACATCACATGAGGGTAACCCTGTAGAGCATTTCAGTTCCCATGCACTCCTACACACCCCTATAGCTTCCAGCTCCTCCTTTGGCTCCTCTACACCCATAACCAGGTTTAGCTGTTGATGATGCTGGTGGCAAGAGTAATTTTTGCATTTCTCTTCCTGGAGATTTATTTGGCACTCAAGGTGGGGATAAGTAGTGAAAAGCAAGCAGCTGTGTCTGTTATTTATTGTGAGCAAACCTGCTCCTGGGGAAGGTGGTGTTAAGGAGAGTGTGTGCAGTACAGTTTTTACCATAAAAGCTGGTAATTGAAATTAGGAATATTTTTTATCTTTTTAATATACGGAAAAGGTTGAATATCAAAACTACTAGAGCATGTGCCACAGAGGGAAGAAGACAGAAGGTCTTCAGTGAAATCCTATAAATTGTGAACCAATGCCCAGTTCTCTCTGTACCAACATGGCAAATTAATCAGTTTATTTGCAGGCGTGTGTTTGGAGAAAACTTGTGCCTGTGTTGGGCCTATAAAGGAGCTCTAAAATTATCAGTCCTGTTCTTTCACCAGAAAATAGTCAGTCTTATGGAGATGCTCTGCCTGAAGCTGCCTGATTTACAGATGATGAAAGCACTTTAGACAAGGGGTGGTCAGTGCCAAAGCTCTGCCTGGGAGCAGGGGAAATGGGCATTTGAGGTCTGCTCAGTCTCCTGAGGATGGAGTCACCTCCAGTGATCTTCCTTCAAAGCCCTGTAGATATTTGGCCTGGCCAGAGGCTGGTACCTCCCCTTTCCTCTCAGTGCACAGTGCCCAGCCCAGGGTGTCTCTCTGCTTTAGGGACTTGAGGCTGATCCCAGACTCAGCTCTTGGGGCAGCCTGTGCTCTGGTCTGTCATTGCCCTGCCAGTGTGATGGACAAAAAGCAGCCCCCAAATTGGGTGCAGAGAACATTATTTGTTATCTTAAGAAGTAAAGATTAGCTTCTGATTCCTGAGCAAGCAGGCAGGGTGGAAAAAGCTATTGGCTGTCAATTCACACCTCTCCGATCTTATATGTGGAACTTTTTTGACCTTAATGGTCAAATAAAATTGTTAAATATCACAAGCTTCTCTGTCAACTTCAAGACAAACAGAACAATTTACATGGTATATAGAGAGCAGTGCCCTTCGCTCAATGAAGATAAAGGTTAGGAGTCCAGCCACCGAGAAATTTCTATTTATTGTTCAGCACTGTACACAAGGGGGTGAGGAAGGACTTAATAGCCAGTCCTTGCCTGGAAATTAGTGTAAATACTGCTTCACCCGAGGGAACTGTGGAAATGTGGATACCAGCAAAAACTTCAAATAGGCTCCGTGTAATATTGCCCGCTTGATTTGCTGGCTGGAGAGCCAACATGTCTTGTCTGCAGGGACAAATCCCTTAACTGCTCCCAACCTCCTCCTGCAGCTGCCACGGGACCTGCAGAGAGTGGGACCTGCTCCCTGGGGCTGTGGTGGGGAAAGGGACAGCAAAACCCTGGCATGGCAAAGGGGAGAAGCACTGGCAGAGCTGGAAATCAAACCCTGCTCACCGGAGTCACCTTTGGAGCCAAACTGCCTCAAATTCCCCCCCCAGTTCTGATACCTGTCCGTGCTCACACCCACTCATCCTTCTTCTTTATCTTCCAGATTCTGCGTGGGAGACAAATTTTTCCTGAAGAACAACATGATCTTGTGTCAGATGGACTATGAGGAAGGGCAGCTGAACGGGAGCTTCGAGTCTCAGGTTCAATAGCAGCCCCTGCTTCGCTGCAGCACTGTGGGATGGGCGCTTGGCCGCACGAGCAGCGAGGGCGTCTGTCAGCTTGCCTGCAATATTTTTTTAATTCTTGGTCCAGAGAGGACTATATACATTGTAGTACTTTTTTCCCCCCCACCCAACACAAAGCAGTTACAATTTTAGATGTACAGTTGTGCCTGCTTAGCTGAGCACTGCATTGCCTGTATGTTTGTGAGTTTTTGGGGTCTGGGGGAGGGCTCTGTACAGTCTGTTTTCTGTATATAAACTGGAACATTTATTTTATGAAAAATGTAATGCAATTTTATTACTGGTGTGAATTAAAAATTATGAATGTTTCCTGGTCATCGTTGCTGTGGTTTCTTCCCTGTGTGGCAAAAGCCTGCGTTTCCTGTGCTTTAGCTGAGCAGACTGTTGGAAACATGTACGTAGATCCCTGGAAACTGCATGGATCACAGCACAGGCAGGTTCTCCCATAACAACCCGGGGAAATGATGCTGCAGGGTTGTGGAGACTTCCATCCAACCACCTGCTTCCCTGTGAAACGGGAGGGACTGAGCTGGGGACAGGTGATGCTGTGCCACGCTGAGCTGCTGGCTGGGAGGCTCCTTGTGTGTTCAGAGCCTGGCCATGGAATTCCTGGTGCCTGCCCGATGCCGTGGCTCCAGTCTGGGCTGCAAGGAACAGCCCTGCCAACAGGTGCCTGGGCATCGATCAGAATATTAATTTCAAGGCTTTGCTAGGCAGTGGGGTTTTCCCGTGGGGCATCACTTGTCCAGCTCAGAGCTGCTGCGAGAGCTGATGTCAGGGCTGGGACGTGGCTGGGTGCTGATGCAGCAGATCCCTGCTCCCAGCCCTTTTTGCTTCCCCTGTGCCAGGTGCTTTGACCTCCCACGCAATAAAAGCCATCACATTTGAAGCATCTCCCGGAGAAAAAAATTCTGAACTGTGTTCCTGCTGCGATGCTTTGTGCAATGATTTTCAAGGTTATGCAATTCATGTGCAACCCACTGGACTGTATCAAACACATTTCTTTGTACAGTGAGTGTCACTTTAATATAGTGCACCAGTAGCTGTAAAGGATGGCTGCAATTCTATTTATTTTGTCTTCTTGCTTTTTCTTAGATTTACCCCCCTTTCCTTTAATAAATAGACACCGAGTACTTTTTTTCTGATGTGACTTAATTGGTTGCTGGTCCTGGGTCACTCGTGTGTGTTCTCTGAATTGCAAATGCCAGATGCAGTGCAGCTTGGTGCTGCTCTGCCTGTTGCATGAAATGCTTCTAATGTACACCTGTGCTGAACAATGGCTAAGCAGAAGCAAAACACCACCAGACACTTAGCATGCTTCAAAATATTGCCTGTCATCTAGAGGTACCTCATTGTGGATTGATTGAGTGATTTTTCTTCACAAACAGATGTTTTGGGTTGGGAAACCCAGTATAAAATGTGTGGCCTCATCCTTTTTTATTCCCATAAACATGGATAGCAATTAAAGAGCCACTTCTAGCTGCCTATGGATATGTGGTGTTTAAACTGCTGTTCTGTTTTAGTGCTTCTTGGGGTGGGGGAGGTTGTCTTTTGAGAAACTGTAGAGTTGATGCTCTTTTTGTAGAGGCTATTGGAGGCAGCCACCCTGGGGCTAAGGAAGGAGCAGCTTGTTGCCCAAATTCCTTTGAAATGGGGCTGCCAGACAGCCACTGTCCCTGCCTGTGCCCTGGATTGATGGCTACCTGCCTGCCTGCCCCTGGGATTTGCTGCAATTCAGCACACAATGGCAGGGCAAGGCTGCTGTGCTGTGGTGAGGAGGGGAGCAGTAAAACCAAACCAAAACTACTCACCAAACAAGCTGGAGGGGCTGTTCAGCTTCAGTTCAGATTCTTAAGGAGGGTTTTGGTGCCAGTTCAAAAGTCCTTCAGAGAAAGGTACCTTAAGTTACACCGTGGGCCATGGCTCAGGAGCTGTGGCTTCCCATTGCCCCCCTGCACTGGCCCTTGCTGTGAAATGCAGGCACTGCTCCCCTGCTGGGGTGCAGGGGCTTCATTTCTGATGGGCAGCCTTCTTGATTTATCACCACTGCTGCAGATCTCAGGAGGAATTCCATGATGCTGGCTCATGTAAATGCCCCGGCTGGAGACTGGGTGGAAAGCCTAGGGCAGGACACAATTTCTCAGTGCTGAATGGGGTGAGGCAAATATCCAATTGTGTTATATTTAAAAGAGAAAAAAAAATACAAGGGAGAAATTGTGCAGCATCTGTATCCCTCTTTTCTGTGTCTGCACAGCAGACAAGGCCTACCTGCCACAGCCCATGCCCCGAAGAGCATTGGAGGTGGGATACCTTTAAAAATAAAATTCCCAGGAGGACAATGCAATCATGAATTCTTGTCTGAATGCTGCAAATTTGCTTAATAGAAACAAGGGCTGGAGTACAGACCTGCTGTTGAATAATCACTTCCACTCTCTGGAGCAGAGCATGGAAACCTTTTGATGGTGTTATAGTCATCACTTGGCATAAATATTCATTCAAGGAATCAGAGCAGAGTAAATGGCATTTTAGCCACTAATAATTTAGTATTAGCAGATAGCCTTTTTACTGCTAAAGATAACCACTGCTTAATCAGTTTAGTGACCACTGGCATACAGTATGACATTTAAGCCTGTGCCTCAGTCCCCGTGCTGAGGACAGGGCTGCTGGTGACCCCTCTGCCCAAGCCTCCATCGTTCCCAGTGTCAGCCCCAGCTGCCAACTGCACTCAGCTGGCTTTAACTTCTGCATTATCTGCCATTTGCCTCCTTATCTTAGATCAAAGAGGAATTTAAAGTTCATACTACAGATGTTAAAATCTAGGATCTTCTGTCTCTTTCTCTTTTTGTGGTTGAGGCTAATGGCTGATCACAGCGCAGTCTGATTTTGAGATTAAAAAACAAGCCAGTGTTTAAAGGCAATCAAAATCTTAGGCTTCGTCTCCATTCATCTTTAATGCTGGTGTAATTGCTGCACAGATTCTGGCTCTTCCTGCAGACTTAATTTATTTTATTTTTGGAGCATGCCCCTGTCTGTCAGAGGGATGTTATACTTCCCTGAGCAGCATTAGCGCTATTGAGCACTCCGCCACCGGCAATCCAGCTCACCCCATTTCATATCTTGCCAAACAAGTTAATCTAATATTAACAGCGGTTTGTTACCTCGTTGTTAGCTTAATTTACTTCACAAGAAATGCTATATTTGCATTTCATCCCTCTGTCACTGGCTTGTGAACCACGCTTCCCAAGGCCAAGAAGGGATGGCTCGTGCAGCTCGCAGCCACACAGGGGAGGGGGCCACCACCCCCCCAGGCATCCTCCCTAATTGCCATGGGGGGATGTGGGGGCTTGGGAGGAGGATTTCGAAAGCCACAGAGCAGGTCCTGGAAATGCAATATTGAGAGTAGCACAAATGCTGCTGCTGCTCTTCCAGTAATAGAGCTGAGTCGTAGGCAGCAGCTTTCCCTGGCGGCAAACACGTACAGTAAATGTCTTTAGTATGGAAATCAGCAGACATGTGGGCACAGGGGCAGGCGTCTGCAACACCAGCAGCTTCCTCAGGCTTTCAGGGAGTGCTCCCTCACCATCCCCAGCCACAGCAGCCCCTGGCACACTCAGCCAGTGTGTCTGTGCCCCAGCACGGTCAGAGCCCTGCCCCTGGCTTCCCAACCGCTGGCCTGGGGGAGCAAATTGCCCCGAGCAATCCCTCAAAAGCCACTTCCCCAAATGATCCAGCAGCCCATGGAGCTGTGCCAGCTGATGTGCTTGATGGCCACTGGGATGGAGCTGTGGGTGGCCATGGGTGACATCAATGATCCCATACCTGGGGCTGTCCCAGCTCAGGGAATGTGCAGTTGTTGGAGGTGGAAATGGATTTCCAGTGAAAGCTTCTGACTTAATTGTTCATTAGCTCACTCTGGGTCCCATTGCTGTCCCTGGCCTCCCACCTCCTCCTGCAGCTGCTGCCTTCCACTGCTTGAAGGAAGGGAATGACCCCATCCAGGTGTCTTTTTCTGGCTTTAATAGCAAAATTAAAGGATGAAGGATGCCAAGAGCAACTCTGGCCAGGCTGAGACATCTGGCAGGGCAGTTTTGTGGTGCTGAAGGTTTTTAGTGAAGGTCTGAGACAAAGCAGGGCTGGAAAGACCTAACTCAGAGAAACAACAGGAAACAGAAAGGTGGAATGAAGGAGGGGATCAGCTGCAGATGAGAGTACCAAATACTGGGTGATTTTTGTGAGCAATTGGAGGGCAAGGGCCCAAAACAGAGATCAGTTTTGCCACATAAGCCCCTCATAAGTGATGCAAACAGTGGAAGTGTAAATATAAATACATATCCAGGCTCCACTGAACCTGAGGCTGCAGGAGCTTCCTGGAAGGAATGTTTCACTACTAACTTAAATTATTTGAGGAGAGGAAGAAGGTGCTGCCTGCTGTCTGCCTGAAGGGGAGCAGAGGGGCCAGCTGCCTGTTTTAGTCCTTGATAATAACATTGCTGGAAAGAAACGTTGCTAATGCAGCTGAGCTTTTATGGGTGATTTTACTTAGAAAATTACCTTGAGAATAGCTTTATTATTATTGAATAGAATCAGGCATTTTCTTAAAGGTCTTGACATCCCTGCAGAAACTGTAGAAAATTGTGATTTTATTTAATGAAAACATTGTTGTTCCAAAGCTGTTTCACTCTGGGGTTTACCCTTCAGGCCCATGTGCCTCCCAGCAGTGGAGAAGCATTGATTTCCTCTGCTCTGCCTCCCCCTCTGCAGCTCACACGGGGTTTTTCCCCCACAGAAATCTTCCCTGTGCACTTTGCCATCCATGTCCCTCCCAGTGGAGTTACACATAAGCCTGTTAGTGGTAACAGAGGCCACCAGTGCTGCTCAGGAATGGGTTGCCACCCTCCAAGCACAAACCCTGGTGGCATCCAGCCTGGAAGCTGCTGGATCACTCCTCCCCCCTGGCTTTGGGTCCTGTCACAGTGGTGACTCCTCAAGCTGTGGCCTCCAGTTGGTGGCTCAAGGGCAGTGGGAGCTCAAAACAGTGCCCAAGGTGTCCCTGTCCCCATCCTCCAGCAGCAGCTCTAGCAAGGGCCCCAGTCTTCAAGGATGGCTTTTCAGTGAGTGTTATTTCAGCTGAGTACCCCCTTTAATGTGCAGCACTTGGGTTCAAAGGGAGGGACTTCTGCTCACAGTTTGGTTTTCTGAGAAGAGCATATCTTTGTCATAATTTAGGGGGTTTTTAATGATTATTTCTTAAAATTCATGCTGAACAGAGCCCAGAGATGCAGTGAAGCGTCTTGCCCTGGCAGCACACACAGTG